CACAAACACACACACACACACACACACACACACACGTGCAAAGACACAAACGAACACGCATATATGTACCCCCACAAACATAGTCACACGGACGTATATCATAACGCAGAAGTACTAATATGCCATGTAGATCTACACAATAATACCCTGCCCCGAATAAAAATATTACCAGGATAATGGCACTGCACTGTTTTTCTATTCATGAAAACAGAAGAAAATATATTAAACGTTCTACGAGAAATTTATAGGCAAGACATTGAAGAAAGAAACAAACACCAAGGACAGAAAGACAGATATAATTAAAAAAAGGAAATTATAAAGAATGAAACGAAGACAAAAGACAGAAAGAAAGAAAAAAAGAAAGAAAAAAAAAAGAGAGAAAGAGAGAGAGAGAGAGAGAGAGAGAGAGAGAGAGAGAGAGAGAGAGAGAAATAAAGAGAAAAATACAACGAGAGAAAACAAGACTGGAGTTTGTGGCAGGAAAGACAAAATTATATATAAACGGTCGGAAGAGGACGCGACCAACATAATTTTTCTAAGCGACCCCAGCCTCCCCATTAATGGCAAGGTGTGATCGTGGTGGTCAGAATCCGTCGGTGTTTGTTTTTTTTTTTGCTTAATGTTCTGTCCAATAATAGGTAAGAGGAAACCTTTTTTAGCAAACCATTCGAAACTTCAATGAATTTCAAGAATGTAATAATTAATTGTCGTCACTTTTGGTGTAGACACTCAATGGTAGTAGTAGTAATAGCAGTGTTGTAGTAGTAGTAGTAGCAGTAGTAGTAGTAGTAGTAGTAGTAGTAGTAGTAGTAGTAGTAGTAGTAGTAGTAGTAGTAGTAGTAATAGTAGCTGTTGTTGTTTTTGTCGCTGTTGTTGTTGTTGTTGTGGTTGTTGCTGTTGCTGTTGATAATGTTGCTATTGCTGCTGATGGTGTTGTTGTTGTTGTTGTTGTTGTTGCTGAGGTGCTGTTTGACCTGTTGTTGTTTCGTCTTTTGATCAATTGAGGATTTATTAGCTGCTGTTGTTAATACTACTGCTACTGTTGCTGTTGCTGTTGTTGCTGGTGCTGTTGCTGCTGATGCTGCTGCTGCTGCTGCTGCTGCTACTGCTGCTGCTGCTGCTGCTGTTATTATTGTTGTTGTTGTTGTTGTTGTTGTTATGTTTTTGTCGTCGTCGTTGCTGTTGTAGTTGCGGTTGCTGTGGTTGTTATTGTTGCTGTTGTTGTTCGTTGCTGTTGACGTTGCAGTCGCTGAACCTAGAGGTTACGACGACGACGACGATAATCGTTCAATGAACCCACCTGCCTACCCCTCCCCCTCCTCTCCCAAAAATATGGAAAAACAAAATACGATAACATAAACAACAGCAATAAGAGCTTCCAAAATAAAACAATATATAGGTGAAGCCCAAACATGTCACTAAAAATAGAAAACACGTGACAAATATTTAAATCTGCAGGAAATTTATGCAACGCGTGCCGCTGCATTTGTTAAAGAATTGGAGAGACAGAAAGAAAAGAAACCCCACAAAAGACCACAAAAAAAACAACCAAAACAAAAACAGAAAAAACCTTCTCAATTACATATAATTGGATAAAAAGTATTGAGGTGAGATGCATAGACAGGAACAAGCAATATTGCTATTCTTGCTAATGTTCCTCTATTGTTGTTGTTGCAGCTGTTGGCGTTGCTATTGTTTGATATATCGTTTTGGAACCTCGCACTTCTGCGTTCATATCCAACAGTGCCACGCAGTGTACGTGTGTGTGTGTGTGTGTGTGTGTGTGTGTGTGTGCGCGTGTGTGTGAGTGTGAGTTTGTGCGAGAGATAGAGAGAGAGAGAGAGAGAGAGAGAGAGAGAGAGAGAGAGAGAGAGAGAGAGAGAGAGAGAGAGAGAGCAAGAAAATGAGGGAGAGAGAAAGAGGTAGAGAGAAAGAACGAGAGAGGGGAAGAGAGAGACACATTGAGAGAAGAAGAGACAAAGGGAGAGAGAGAGATTGAGAGAGAAGAGAGGTAGAGAGCAAGAAAGAGAGAAAGAGGGAAAGGGAGAGTGAAACACAGAGAGAGATAGATTGATCGCTAGATTGATGTATCTATTCAGAGATAGAGAGAAAGAGAGAGAGAGAGAGAGAGAGAGAGAGAGAGAGATAGAGAGAGAGAGAGCGGGGGAGAGAGAGGGAGAGAAAGAAAGAGAGAGAGAGAGAGAGAGAGAGAGAGAGAGAGAGAGAGAGAGAGAGAGAGAGATTCCCCATACAAACTAAATCCCATCAAATCGCCAGTGACACCATTACAATGAACAAAGAAGATCTGTCAGAGAAAATAAAAGAACAGAAAAAAGCATCCTTCTAATGACAACTAACTGGTACTTTGACAAACTTACGTGAAGTCAGAACCGGCGAATTCTTCCTCCACACGTAGAGAGCAAGAGACTGAGTACGTAGTATGAGGTAGTACTAGCTTGCCGCACACACCATGTGAATGTTATTATCTATGGGTCCACTGTTCACACTCTCGCGCACAAGAGCTGGGTAGAATCCTTTTCAAATTCGGTTAACCGGTTAATTCCATTATCATAAAAGGATTACTGGTTCTTGAAAAAAATGTCCCTTCGAAATTACAAACAAAATAATTCTTTGAGTCGCTTAACCGACACTTTATGTATATTATTAAAAAGTCCGATCAACAAATGTCAAAGGCAATGTTGCAGTGCATTTCACGCCATGATGAACAGTCAAATAAAAAACACTAAATTGTTAATTACATTGCAAGCATGACTTGTTAAAGTGTGAGACAGAATTAACAAATCTGTTAGGAAAGAAGTTAAGTTTTAAAAAATCCAAAACAAATGCATTCCTTGTTTGTCTTTAACGGGTTAACAGACCAGGCATGAAGAAGGGGAGCGGTAAGTCTAGATTCTAGGTCAAAGAGAATTAGAAAATGAGTACGCCAGTGAGTGGGACGTATCTGAACATAATCTGACCTCCTTCGGTCAAGCATTGCAATGCAAACTAATCTGCAATGCCAAGTATGGCTTCGAATCAAGGTCATCTACTCCTTAGTCCAGTATGATACCCACCTACTGCGCTGACAGAACGGCCTGATGCGAACTGCTTTAATGTATACCGGTTTGTTTCAAATAGAATCATCTAAAATTCGGTTGTAGCCCAGCCCTATCACACAAACGAGAACGAGAACCTCTCGCGCGGAGAATCCCACGGGTGCGCGATTTATTCGGGAGTCTGGAAACTTGGGAACCGTAGCTGACCGGGAGTGAGCTGGTTTTAGACCACGTGATCAGCCACAGCCAATCGCCGTAAAGAATTCTTATTTGCCTCTTCTCGTAGTCTGAGACGGAGGAAGAGAAATAAACAATGTTCTTGTGCTGTGGCGGACGGCGAATAGAAACGTGGTACGCTCCTTTTTGTGTTCTTTTAGCCTGTTCGAACATCCTTACATCTTATTCATCAAATTATCTCTAACAACAAAGTCATTTTAGTTTTAGTTTTTTTTTAAATACGGCACTTACAGCACAAATAGGTCATATATATATGCCTGAGATTAGACGTGTTACAACAGAGTAACATAACAAGAAAAGAAGGAGGAAAGATAAGTTCGATAGATATAATTTTCGATAGGAAAGAAGGAGCAAACCACACCAGAGCACCCGCCAGCCGTCGAGTAACAACAGTGTGAGAAAGAATCCATCGAATTATTCTTTACCCTTTCCGTACGTCGTGTTTTACTATCGTATCCTTATGACGTGGGGAACTCTGTGCCACCACTTTCCAAAGAGGAAATCACTCGTTAATCCGATCAGTACGCTTTTCATAGCAGTTTGTCAAAATGATTGTTTGAGAAGCACTGAAAGTTTCAAAGAGATCTTCGTACTACACGTATTCTAAAATATAAAGAATGCAACCTCGAGGGTACAAATTAACCCAATGGCGTACGGATAGAGTTAAAAGCAAAAACGGCTAACTAACATTCTGCAATTATTCGGCATTACCCCCAACAGCCATAACAGGCGCTCCCCCCCCCCTACCCGGCCCCCGCCCCTCTCCTTCTCTCTCCGGTCCTCCCCCCCCCCTCACACACACACACACACACACACACACACACACACACACACACACACACACACACACACTCTTCATCGCTGTCGCTTGGCAAACAGTGAAACTGACTTCTGCTTTTTTCCAGGAAACGACCTTCTTGCCCGCACTTTCACTTCTATTTACGAGATGATGTTATTACCTTTTCGCATCGTGTGGCTTTGAAGCTGCGCATTCTCAAATGAACGGTGTTATTTCCTGTACGCCATTTCATGGATCCCTGCAAGGTTGCGGGTATTTTAAAATATCTTCAATGTGATTTTTTTTAGATGTGTGTATGTGTGTGTATGTAAGTGTGTGTGTTGTGTGTGTGTGTGTGTGTGTGTGTGTGTGTGTGTGTGTGTGTGTGTGTGTGCTGTCAAAGTAAAGCTTAAACCATTGCCAGCTCTTCTATTACTTTAAGGAACACGTTCACTTCTTCTGGCAAAAGAAGTCTACAGGACAAAAGCGTAGTTGAAACAACAACAAAAAACAAAACAAAAAAAACCCAACCACGGTCACAGGCAATAAATACAGCCAAATGCACAAACTATGAAAATTTACATACCGGCAATTATATTTTTACATTCAAGGTGGACATTATTACAATGCTACTTCTTCCCCGTATTCCTTGACTTATACAATGAAAAAAGAAGACATAAATATCTGCCTTTTTTGTTTTAATTGTTTGTTTAAGTAGAGGTTTTACGGCGCTCGCAACTGCATAAGGTCACATTAGTGCCAAGGGGTGGATGTCAACAGAGAAGTCCTTACAGGGAATCAGACTTTCTCTGCTCACCTCTCTAGCTTCGTCAGACCATAGTCTGCTTCGACTATCAAGGCACCCCGGAAACAGCGGATCACAAGAGTGTGAAAAACATACAAAAAGTAGATGAGAAATGACAATAGTAAGGATTTAGGAAAGAAAAAGCAGCAGTTCCCTGTTGCAGGTCAGGCACAGTTATGAGCGTGACATTGATGAATCGGCCTATTTTTACAATTACAATTTTACTGTGCATAAGAACTCGAGATGTCAATGCACCCCCCCCCCCCTTTTGGGAATGGCCTAAAGACACTTCAGTCAGTAGCACCGCCCCGGGGGTAATATCTACCTTTGAGATGGGTTGCTTGAACGAAATGGCCAAAATTAGCCGGAAAAATAAAAACGACAAACAAAAAAGTATCTCAGATTCTCTACACAATGCAATATGTGAGGCAAAAGGGCTGCGGGTGGCCAACGAACAATGTGGACCGACAACATCAAGGTATGGACTGGTCTAAAAATATTGAGTGCAAGACGAAGGTTATGGAGCGAAGGGCAGTAGTGGGTCATTGCAGGCCAACCTCTGAGCAAGAGATGGTGTCACGACATGGCACAATCATGCGGTCTTCAGTTGTTGCTTTTTGCACATATGGAGCTATTTATATCTTCTTTAAGCTTGCCTGTTTGTCTTTCTGATGTTAAAATGATATCCGTCAATATTTGATAAAAGTGGAGACATTTACGATTGATGAAGACTGGAGTCGTCTAGTGTTCGAGAAAAAAATAATGTGAAAATGTGAAGTGATTTTCAAAGCGCTAGAGCATCCTTAGAAACTGCATCTTTATGTCTTTCAGTAAAATCAAGACAGAAATGTGTTTTTAAATGGACATAAATGACGCTGAACAAGAAAAAACCGACTCTAAACAACAAAATCGAACAAGAAGTCCCCGAAAAAAAGAGACCAAATTAAATTCTGGCTCTCGACGTGTGGAGAAAGAATTCGCCGGTTCTGACTTCACTTAAGTTTGTCGAAGTACCGGTTTGTTGTCATTAGTAGGATGCTTTTTCCGTTTTTTAATTTTTTTATTTGCGGAAACATATCAATTTCTTCGATTTTATTGTTTTGACGAGCACATGATTTTACCACGATGCCACTCGCTTAATCAAAAGAAAATAATCATAATTTTTCCTGAATAAGCAGACATGTGTTGTTTTAATCTCTTATTGGCTACGTAGTTCTATTTACACGGGATTTGAAGTTGGCTGCTTCTTTCACTTCAGTATAATGTTGTTTACCTCAAAAGAGTCAAGGGTAGAGTGCATCTTTGGGGTCTGGGTACAAGCGCTAGGTCAGTTTTCTTATTGTATTTTCCATTTCTAATGCCACTCAAACGTTATTCACCTTTTTCACCAACATAATATGTGGTGCAGCAGCTAGACGCTTTGCTGCCGCAGGCAAGAGACCGAGTTCTATTCTCAAGTAGGGATAATTTTTTATCGAATATCTCAATCTTTCTGCTGTGATGTTGTATCCCTGTCTCCCCGGGCTAGCCCTGACAGACAGGATTGAAATCCGCCTCCTGACATGATCGAGACTGTGTCGAAAGGGGTGTAAAATAACCTACATACTATTATTCCCCCACCCGTCCTGCGAACGCTTTCTACTGCTTTGTTTTTCGTCCAATGGGAATGTCTTCAGCTTGTGGCACTTATGTATTGAACTAACCTAACAATGTCAGATTCACATGGCCCCTGCTCCGCACCCACCATCTTGGCGACCAGTTCACTTTTAAAACCTAAAAAAATAAACTTGATTACAATGGCGCTATGTTCTTGGTGCTTCTAATGTGTTTAATTACTTCAGGGTGATTTTAAAAAATCTACAAATTTTTTGGTAAATATCTTCCTACACAGTCATACTTTGTGTTTCAAAATTTAAAAATGATATTTGGCAGCAAAAAGGAATTTGTCTGATATTCATTTTAGATAGTTCCACAGAATAGTTTTGTTAATTCTGTTTAGCGCAAAAGAAAACCGCCCATTTATTTATTTTTGGTTGCTTTGTTCCCATTTGTGTACCGTGACGCACCAGTTTGCATTATGCCTGCAACGATTGCAACATATTGTAAGCTACAGCAGTCTGATAAGCCTACAGAAGTTTGCAGATATTATTTTTCTCAAGTTTCCCTAGCCTGCTGAGATCATAGTTAAGTTTAGTAAAGTGTAGAGAGCTTTTTATGTATTGAGCATCACCTCGCCTCCAACTCATCATCCCCATTTCGTAAGTTTCACACAAGGTACGGAAAAAAACTAAAGTACCCTCAAGGCCTTCTTTGATGTTATATGGGTAGAAATGTTCCGTCAGTTTGAACCTATAGAGAATGAGAATTAAAAATCCCTAGACAAAACGACTACCACAGATCGAAAACACACCCTTTGCACCCCTTTAAATGTCTCCAGAATACAGAAGTCAGTAGTCAAGTCCCATGAGACGTCTGTCCGTTGACGATGTCGGCAGCTAGGACTTTCCTAACTCCCCAGCTGTCCACTTTCTCAAGGTAGATCTTCACCATGACAGTATCATTTTCGGACTTTCTAAGGTGACGTGGATCAGAGGATGGCAATGCGTTCCTGGTTCCTCGGTCGTCTTGAAAAGCGTGAACATTTCCTCAAACTCAAAGACGTTTGGTTCAGTCGAAGAGCCCATTTTCACCTTTTCACAATATGTATACTCAACAAATGTTGTTCTATTGAGCACCCCACCCACCCCCTACCACATCTAGAAGACATTTTGTAATGGGAAGTTTACAGTGTGTGCGGTTTTCAGTATCCAGGGTTTGGCGGGTCCTTATGTTTGGCCACCACGATGGCATCAAAATGTTTCGAGTCCAAAGTAGGACATGTTGGGCACTGGCTCTGAGAACTCTAGTTTAGTAATGTTAGGTTTTTAATTATGTAAGAGAAATTTAATATTGTTTAAATGTTACTTACTTTACTTTACGTTTCCGATCCAGCGGCCATTTGGGTTCTAGCCCTTCGGTCTGTCGATATGGCAAAGAATGTTTAAATGTTACTGGGATGGAAAAATTAAATATTAAGAAGAAAAGAAAGAAACAAGGAAGCCAAAAGGCTCATGACTTTCTTTAAAACATTTTTAATTGGTGCATTTTGCGTTTATAGGTGTATTTTCTTAAACATAAATCCATTTTCGTTTTCAAATAGAACTTTTATCTTTGTGAATTTTGTGTCAAAACAAATCCCGTTTAAATAAATAATGTCTGTTCCAAATTACAACTTTCTAGAACACTTTTTGTGCGATACATTCAGAAAAAAAAGTTGTTAAGTTTTTGT